GAAAAGAGTAAGGTAAAATCTCTCTTGTTCACACAGCATATGACAGCACAATTCCAAACCCATATGGTAGCTGCATATAATATATTTTCTTTCTTGCTTTGTAACAGGCAGGATAAATCCCAAAGACAACACTTTCTTCTTCCTGAACCCCAAGAGAAAGTAATTATTTCAAGCTGGAAGTCTAATATTCCCAGTGTCGGGAGTGGGCGCACATAAATTGCTGGCACCATTCACTTTCTGTTGTCATATTGCCACGTTTGTTAATAATCATCCTGTTCTGTTCTGTTTGTTTCCAAATGTGTTTCTGGTTCTAGTGGATTCTGGGGCAGCGGGATATGCTGCCTCCCTTAACCAACAACTTCAACTGAACACAGAAAAACTACTTGAAAAAATAGCGGGGAGGGGCTCTAGCCTCAGATTATGCTCCTGTGTGGCACGAGCACGGGGCAGAAATGTGCCTCTGTGCAGAAATGACGAGGGTGGGTGAGAACCAGCGGTTTCAAAGCGGGCGTTCTGGAAGCCTCGCATCTAGCTTAAAATCTGTACTCTGCTCTCAGTAGTGCCAGGGCATGTTTCATAGAGATGTCCTCAAGCAATAAGGTAGAAGTACCACTGCATTTCAATACTCCATGTATCTGCTACTCAGAAAGTAGGGCTTCTGCTTCAGTCGTGTGGGCGTAGCGAAACGGAAGGGAAGAGGAATCGAGCCGAATCAGCGACGCAGCTCTTCGAATATTGTGTCTGGGGTCATCTTGCTTCCGTAGCCCTCCAGTAGCTAACGAGGCTCGTAAGATTTTGCTTTAACATGTTAAAGACCAAGTCTCGTTCCAGTTCCTGTACAGTGCCTTCTAAGAGTCTCGTAAGTATGCCAACATTTGGTGACTAGCTGAAAAGGAAAAGATGATTGATGTCTAGAAGACCAATAAAGAAAAAAGCCCCAAAGCTTTCCATTGTGATTCCGGAGAGATTTTTAATTTCCCAGCGAGTTCACAGTGAGAAAACAAAAGCAAGTTGTTTAAACTTGCATCTGAAGAGTGTAGTTTGGAACGTATCTGCAATCTCAAGAGGTATTAACAAAGATTAAACATTGAATGTAGGTGTAATCAATCAACAGGGAGTTTTTCTGTGTAGCGCAGTTGAAGGCAATTTTATAGGAGTCTCTGGTTTTGTGCAAAATTTTCCTCCACATGTAATACCTGGAATGGCACTGGACAGATGACCCAGTTTTAGTGTCAATTTTTTTTTTTTTTTTTTGGTCAAAATGACAGGAAATATGCACTGGGCATCTGAAAACAGTTCAGTAAAGTTTCAACACTACAACCTATTGCTACATTGTAGTTTATTGCACATTCTGATTATTTTTTTAAACACTTTTTTAACACTGGTTTGTCTTAAACTTGAATCTTGCCTCAATGTCTGATACAATAATCTTTGATGCAAGGTTGGTTTTTTTTAATTAAAAGATATTTCTATATATGTTGTACGTAGTCTGAATTTGATGGCCTTGTAGAAGAGAAGGAATAGCAATGGCTTTGCAAACACGCTGAAGTGGCAGGAAGCTGTGCTGGTGCTGCGAGGCTGAGATCCCCCCACTCTCTGAATGCAGAGGTGGATTTTTCCATCTCTCTCGTCTTGCATGTGCATCTGCTGCTGGGAAAAGGTTTCTGAGTTACATGTCTCAGATGCTTTGCAGGTCTCTTCCATACCCGTATCCATTCATTAAGGCGTCTGATCCAACCAGCTCCCACCCACCTGTGTTGTGAGGTCAGGGCTTCCTGCTCTGTCTGCTCCCTGGGGCAGGGTGAGGAGTTTCTGCAATTTAAGAGATGGGACAGACGAAGTCAACCAGCCAGCCACCTGCCTTACGTGTCCTGAAGGTGCCGTCAGGAAATGGAAATGCAATCTAGCATTTTACAGGAAGGAGTAAGAGGAGAGGAGTTCTAGACTGGAGGGGGGAAGTGTGTTTGGTCAGCCTGGTGGACTGTAAAGCTGTTCTGCACTGCTGTTCAGTTCCCAGCTGTGGTGTTGAACTGTTGGGTTGCTTTTGGGTCAGTCTCCGAGAGGCTGGTCCAGAGCAGCTGCTTGTTCCCTTGCCAGCTGCCGGGGCTGCACGAGCGGTTATCCATGAGCGAGGGTAAGCATGTTTTCTTTGTCCCCTCTCTACACATTCTTGTCAGCGATTGTGGGAACCAGCTCGTGTCTCACACGGCAGCAAGGAAAAGGCTAAGCAAAGAAAGGCCAGGCAGCCAGGAGACTGAAAAAAAAATCCCTGGAGCAACTATAAAAATGTCCAGTTGGTCATGTCCCGGTGTCGCGTGCCTACCTCCAGCAGCCCCTCGTGCGTGCGCGTGCCAGGCAGGATGGCTTTTGGGCCACCCCCGCTGTGTTCCTCACCCCCAGCACCTCTTCTTGCAGCAGCCCAGGCACTCTGCCCTGCCCTCTGGCTCTGCTCTGTGCATCTTTGCTCCAGCCAGTCAGGCACCCTGTTTTCCAGTAGCCCCATTTCACTACTGGAACAAAGTGAGAAAACGCTTAAAGAACTTGGTCACAGCACCAGCCCCCTCCTTTCAGCTTCCTTCCCTGTGCTGCATGCAGCTGCAGTTGGCACTAGTACTTCAGTTTACTGCCTGCAGCCCTTCTCCTGCCAAGCTGGACTCCCTCCTCCACCCA